AGAGAGACAGCGCAGAGCATCCTGAGGAAAACAGCATATTTAGAGACTTCCAGGATGATACCCAAGGGGCAGGTATCCAGGAGAAAGCCTGCATGTCCATAAATCCATGGGGAAAGCTCCGTGAAGGCAGCGTTAACTCTATGGTAGATACCCTGGTGTCCATCCCAAGCTTCATTGCCAGATCAAAACGTAGCCTTTCCTTTTCTTTCAACCATAGAAGACGTGTCAAGGTCATATATACATTTGACAGCTTCAAGTATTTGTGAAGCCCAAGTCAGGCCTCCCCCAAATCATGTCATTACCATCAAAGAAACTTAAGAGACTTGTGTGTTTTTTCTGTTCTTTGACACTTCAGGACTGAAACTTCTCCCTTCAAATACAAGTGTGAGACCCTTATTTATTTTTAAATAGAAGCTGTGATTTTCACATATTCATCCAACTCTACCATTTGTGGTTTAAGAAAATAAGAAATATCACAAGACTTGTGACAAAAATCACAGGATCTGGCAACACCCTGCTCTGTGATATCCCACAAATAAAAGCAGCAGATCCCCACAGGAGGTATTTCTGTAAGGACTTGCTGCTGCCGGTACGGGGTTCACGGGGTTCCCACGTAGAGCACTCGGCACGTCCCAGGCTCGGGCACTCCATGTCTCCCGCATGGCGAATGCACTCTTTCATTTGTTTCAAAGAATGAATTTTCATTTAAAAGGAAGTAAGGATCAGATACCCTCCTATAGCAAATAGCGTGTCAGCTGGCGTAGAAACCATTCCCTGTTTAGTATTTAGCATAAGATCTTTAAAACTGTCTTTCGGTTTTCTGCAAGCAGTCGAAGCTTTAACAACAGACCAGTGCAACAGCCTCAGCAGAGTTGCCTGCTCTAGGAAAACAGTTTTAAAATACAGGGTGAGGGAGTGCAAATAAGCAATTGCTCTGATAAACACTGTTGCCAGTTTTTTAATCTGTGAAGAATTATCCTGTCATACTGTAACATACATCAATTAAATTATAAGCATCCATGCAGGGAGGGGGCTGTCTTGTGCTCGTTTATGTAGTTTGTAGCATTTTAACTTGTTCTTTAAGTGCAAGCCATCAGTTCCATAAAATACACAAGGAAATGCAAGTCTTCTGTAGCAGAAATGGGAGCCTGAATCCTTTTGAAATCACTGGCTGGCAAACATTTAAGGGTTAACTTAATAAATATGAGTTTTTACATGTCTATTTTAGAATCTCAGCTGCTTTCATCTCCTTCCTGCACAGCACTTACTTTCCTTCTGACAATAAATAATGTTTACATGAGCAATAAAGCTAACTTCAGGGGGTGCAGCCATCATAAACTAGACACAGTCCCAGAGGGAAGAGAGCCACAAATCTTAGAAAAACAGTATGGGTGTTGTTTCCTTATCTTCTTTTAACTTTGCTGCCTCTTGTGCTAGACACCTAAATAAATGACAGTAATCCAGTGCTCTGGCACAGAGACAGTAAATTTGCCTACCTTCACTGTTGCTTCCCATGGCTATCAATGTCCTTGTCATCTCAAGGTTTTACTTTCCCCCACCAAATATTACTCAGATTGGCCTCATCTGTAGAACAGAGTAACTGGGCTCCCTTCTCACGCAGCGTGTTGACCCAGACTTGTTGGGAACAAGTGAATTTATTTCACTCAGTGACTTGCAATCATATTATAGCATTTTAAAGTCACATGAGAAAATTAAAATGCCAGGGAGCTAAATCATTAAATCCAATTAGCATAATTGCAGAGATGTAGAAGACGAAGGAAATTCAAAAGAGCTGCAGAGAGGCAGGATCAAGCATAACTGGGCCACCCTTCACACGTATACCTTATGTGCTTTTAAAAAATCAGGCACGATATTACGAGTAGAAGAGAACAGTTCCCTCCCGTGCCTACAGCTCTGTTTAATCCTAGGTTGAGATGTGCCTTCTTTGCAAACTGATTGTTTAATCATTTGTCCTACACTCTTTCTGGGTATCAGAGAAGCACCTTCGTTCTGGTACTTCTGGAGGTTTTCTACTCTCCCCTTATTAGATTTGCCCTTTCCCATCTTCTAAGACCTCCCTTGTCCCTTCACAGTTTCCTGAAGCTGTATCAATGATGGTTCAAGTGTTGCTTAGCGAATTCCTTAGTGCTTTAGGATGAATTTCATCAAGGAATCAAATTTATCTTAGTATTTCTGATCTTTTTCTTGCCTTATTCTAGGCTGCAGTCCTAGTCCCGTGCTAAAATTCATTGCATTAACCAGTGAACTTTTCAGTGATGCCTGACCCAAAGTAGACATTAAGCGGTTGTCATCTCTGGGTCCATTTTTGCTTCTCCCATGGAATACCTTACCTGTAGTTTCACTCTCCGTTTCTTCCACTGTATTCTTCTCTTCTTTCATTTCCCTTGCTTGCTGTAACTCACACTCCCTCTTACCTTTCTGAACAGCTCCACTCACCTCTTTTTGTGCGGCTCCTCAGTCATTTGCCACATTTCCATTTTTTTTTTAGTTTTTCCGCTCTGGTTTTCATGTCCTCAGAGTTCCTGAGGCAGCTGTATCAGATTTTTGCTGTCCTCTGCATTGGTTTGTCTGGCATGCCTTTAAACAGTCTCTGGTAGGGACTGCCAGCCCTCCTGCGCTCCATCGATCAGATTGTTTCTGCATAGATCCTTTGTACTTGTTATTTCAGTATGTCAAAATTTGCCTTTTTGAAGTCCATTTTCCTTACTCTGTTGCTCTTCCTCCTTTTCATAAAAATGTGATGTCACTTATTTTCACATTCACCCAAATGTCACTTTTGACTTCCAACCAGTTTTTCCCTGCTATAGTCAGAAGCAACTGCCACCCCATTTCCCACCACCTTTGGAAATAAAGCAGTCACCAAGCCGTATGTTCAAACTCCTGGTGGTTGTACACTTTTCCAGCAGAGAATTAGACAAATAAAGTCACCCAATATTAAAGATGGTTCTGTTATTTCCCCAAGTAAACTCCTGCCAGCTCCTCCTCCTAACTGCAGAGTCAGTGCTGAACGCCCAGCAGCCCACGCTCCACGCTCCTTCGCCCTTTGTTCTCCGACTACAGACATTAATTAACGAGCATTTCACCTCATGCTGAACTGCAGAGAATGTACAGACCTTTCCTCTCACCTGTCCTACCTGGAACAAGCTATCATTTACCATGCCGAGATCCCAGTCCTATCATTTGTCCCACAAGCACTTGTAATTCTTATTAAGTTGTACCTTTTATTATGTGGAAAGTCTTTAACTTCTTCCTGCATTTAATTCTAATGTACCAGCCGTTTGTATAGGAGCACCTCAGGTGTTTGGCTGGTTTTCCCAGCCTTTGTTCCTCTCTATGCTCCTTTCACACATTTTGGTTTTGTTTTCATCCACCTGCGGACTTTCACCACTGATGCTATTCAAGCCTTCGCTCTCAAACGGGACCCAGGAGTGCTTTCCTCGGGCGGATGGAGCCCAGCCATTCCCAGCTGTCCTGCCAGAAAGCCCCACGCCAGCAGCGAGGAAGAGCTGCCGCTGTGACAGCTGGAGTGCGTAGCTTTGTGCAGAGATTTCACATCCTTGCATCTGATTTTCCACTTGAGGGCACCCTGCTAGGGCCTCCAGCTGGCCCCTCTTAGGGACTGCCTTGCACCGAGACTTTATAACGCATCTTCTCCAAAGCTCTCTGACCCCTTTGCGTCCTCCCAAACATCACCAGCGACCCTGCGAGCTGCCTGGCGCGGCTGCAGCCAGGCTGGCGGGGGCTGCGGGGGGTGGGAAAAAAAACGCCCCTGCGAGCTCCCTGGGGCGGCGGCGGCGAGGCTGGCGGTGCCTGCAGCTGATGGGACAGGCAATGGAGCCGGTGCCAGCCCCGCACGCAGCCAGAAGCTAACGCTGCGCACGGGATGCAAGAGTGCATCTGGGTACAGAAGCTGGCAGGGTCTGGCGGGGTACCGAAAAACTGCAGACAAAATGGTTCACAGCACAAATATGTCCTGATAAACATTGGCTAGTATTAATTTAATGAATTGCGAACTTAATTGGAACCAGTGTTGAGAAGCATATCCATTATCCTTTTCACAGCACATATTAAGAAGTGCATTGCAGAGGTGCAGACTGTTGTAATGTATAGAAGAACTGAGCTTATTAGGACAAAACCAAAGCTCCTTTGCTGTGACTTCCACATAGCTGAAGTTCAAGCACCTGTTTTTGATCTTTGCCAAGTATGGCCAAGATGGAAGAGGGCATTTCTAGGCCTGCCAGCAAGCTACAATAATTTGAATTTCAAAACTGAAACTTCAGAACTGAAGGTCTTAAGAGGATATCTGATTCATAACAAGCAGGACATACAATAAAACAATTACTGGGGCTTGCAATATAAGATCATACTTCCGTCATGACAGGAATGTGTCAATACCCATTAGACAGCTGATGACAGGAGAATAAATAACGCTTCAATTTGAACAAAAATAACTATACTATAACTATAAGATATACATGTGTGTGCATATAAACAGCAGAATAAGACCCGTATCAGTTACTTAACTATTCAAAATGGACAAAACAAGAAAAAAATACCTTGTTTCCTCACACAGCAAAGAGATTAATAATAGGAAAAGAAGGCAGGTTTCCAAAAAACGACATCGCCCCTTTACTTGGAGTGCTCTCACAGGGATGCTGCAGTGACCACCTGAGCCACGCTGCTCCAGGAGGGCTGCACCGCCTTCCCCACCCGCGAGCCCGCACACCGGCTGCTCTCTCGCACCGTAACATGTACACCAGCTATAGGTGGTCAGTGGTACGCTCCCTCGCGGGGCAAAGTGTGCCATAGTAAGGCACCCCTCCATACACTCTCCCCTCTCCGACAGGCTGGTGAATCTGGAGACGTGTCTCTACTGCACCCAGTCTCACACGGTCTGCTCTATATGCAGAGCAGATGAATTAAACAAAAAGGCCTTCCTGATATAAAACAACAGGGGCTTTTAATTAAAAACAAAATTTTATTGTAGTTCTATCATACTACTGTGTAAAAATATGGGGGATTTTTCATTCTGAAATGCTTACCAAAAACACTGGTTAAAAGAAGGTTGCGATCTTACTAATGTGTAATTATCATCAGTGATTTTGTATGAGGCAAATACACAAACTGGCTACCATTCCTCTCTAAATGTACAGAAGAACAATATTATGCTTTTGCCATGGTCACAATACACAGCACACCGTAGAGAATGGCTATGGACTGCCAGCCTCAACACTCATTTTTTTATATTTGTATCAGACCTTGAAGCATTTCTGTTAAATAACTATCTTGGAATATAGAAAACTTTCAAATTCATATGAATAATTAACTTTCTATGTTGTCTTTAAGGCACATATTTCTATCCAAATTTCATTTTGGTCCAGAGGAGCAATTGTATTTCAGACACCAGCTATCCAGGTATCTGACAGCTCGGTTTGTTATAACTATCCTTATGTCCATAGACTTCAACGACATGTATTGAATCCACTGTCTGTACCGCAGTGTTGTGTCCTGGTACAGCTTGTTTCACAGGCGCACTACTGCTCTTGGCTAACTTAGGCAGATGATCGTTGTCTTTGCAACACCGAGGAGCTACGATGTCCCGAGTCCACTCCTCCTGGAACCTGTAAGCATGAAGGAAAAAGTTATTTCTGTTTCATTTGCTCTGGTGAGGATACAGAACTTTCCAATCCATTTAATTGCACATCAGGCATTTTGCAAACAACTTGTGCGGTAACATATGGACTCACTTCTCCTAGCATTAAAACCAGTTGGCAGCAGCGGGGCAAATAATTGTGTCTCTCTAAAAGCTGATGCAGACCTTGAAAAGACTTGTGAGGTTGGTTTTATTTGGGGTTGGGGCAGATGTTGTTTGTTTGTTTGTTTTCCATCAAACGAGTCCCCAGCTTCAATTTAATGCTCCGCTATCTACAGACTATTACCAAGAACACCTGAATGCCGAGACTGGTGCAGAAGGAAAGTCCTTGCTTGGTTCGCGGAGCACTGTTGGGAGCACCAGAGCCCGTTGTGCTCAGTGGGATTCGAGGTGTTATTTGCAGAACTGCCAGCGATGCCTACGCAGCGCTGTCGCATCTGGCTTGTGCTAGCCCTTGGCTGCCCGACCTGGCTACCGCCTGGCCCTCCCAGAAGGGACCGCAGGCTGGGACTCTTATTTGCCGGCTGCGTGTGTATGCAGCACTGGCGGTCACCGGTCCGTCCTGCACCCCACCTTTCCACACCAGGGAAGGAGGGCTTGCCCAGCTGTGGGGTAAGCCAGCACAGGCTGCTGACCCAGACAGCAAATAACCCAGCGGTGGATGGTGTGGGCAGAGCAGCAGCAGTGGCAGACAGAGATGGCAGAGTTGCTCAGTAAACTACACACAACTCATTCAGGAAAACGGGGGGATGGGATCAGCTTGTTCTTGAACTCTGCTGCAAGGGGCACGACGGATGCAGCTGGCTTTAAGCACACGGCTCCGTGAACCAGAAGCAGGTAAGACACAGCCCTTTTGGGTTTGTGCCAAACTACCGTAGTCTGAGCGTGTGGGCTCTTGTAAAACATCAGTTATTCCACAGCAGCTGTTGGCACGCAGGGCAGATGCTGAGGTCGCTTGCCCCACATTCACTGCAGGTAAGCTGGCTCACGTGGCTCCTCTAGCTTCCTCTGCCGCCATCGGTGTTGGCCGCTGAATGCAGCAGCCTGCACACCCACACCCAGGACAATGCGGTCTTACCCTTTCGTACATGAAAAGCCGGTCAGGAAACAGAAGCTGCATTCTGCAATTATCAGTTGCAGAAAGCCAGCAGAAATGCTCATACACGAAATGTGCATACGTATAGGAACCACAGGGGAATGACAGAAAATAAAACCAAGTAACTGAGGTCTTGCTGTTCTGGTACAGAGTAGGTATGCTGCAGATACACCTTTCTTGTGAAGGAGAATAAATCTTGCTCTTCACTGGAAAGCTGTATGACAAAACTATTTGGGGCATGAGCTACAGTCAGATAGTATAAAGGCATCTTAAAGCACCTCTGCTTTTGATGCGAGAAGGCACTGTATCAGTGTAATCAGAATATACTTATCAAGGAGGTACTCAGATGAGCAGAATTTACCCACCTGTAATTTGGACAACATCAAACTCATCTATTTCTCAAAAAACCAGCCTGGTAACTTTACCCACTTTGTATTGATTTGTACTGTTTCAGCTGTGCCTTTTAATCTTGGTGCGTCAACAAGTCCTCAAGTATCTTCGTGTTTGACACCAGAACACCTATCTGAGTACCCCTGAGGCTTGCCATCAGGGAACAGAAGCTACATGGAGTAACGCTGCAGATCTTACTGCTGAAAGAAAATCTTCTGACATACTTGCTACTGTGCTTTCTTTTTTTTCTCTAGTACGAGGAACTCAGTTCCGTCTTCTTGAGGTGGTAGTCAATAGTTACAAAATAAAAATCAAATCAAAAGAGCGTGTACAGGGAGAAGAACTGGGATAAAGTTTTGCATGGGGTAGCCACAGCCTTTGCAAATAGCCCTGCCAGGATTATAGTTCAAATCTAGGTATTCTGGTTATTTTGCAATAAATACAGTTTACCTGGGCAGAATTCATCCCATTCTGATGTTTTCTCCTATGAGGCTCTGCACTGTGAAACTCTGCGATTACCCACAGTCCACCACCAACTCAGAAAGCCAAACTGGCTAAAACCATCCTGGCTAAGCAACCTCTTCCTCCCATTTTGGGAACTATTAAGCTTCCATTGACTGAAATAAGTCTAGTATGAGGTGACAGTAGGCACCCTCCATTCACTGCAGTACATCGAACCCTGTGGATGTCAGGGGGACAGTGAAGTCAGTGGAGTTCCACCGAAGCAGTGGCTGAGAAGAGCTATTAAGAGGGTTGCAGTGTCGACAAGGGACAGATAAACGTGCACGCAGTGGGCTCTCCTCTGCACGCATGGCTATCAGTCAGACGTGGCCTTCAGTTTGCACTTTCATCCTCGGGAGCTCTGTACTTTATCCAGAATAAGTGTGACTTTTTTTCAAGTGCTTCAACTTTCCTTAACTCCAGTTTCCAGCCGGGCTACTTCAAAACATCACGGTAAGAAGATCAGAAGACCTCCCTGTACTCTCATCTGGAAATGCAAACCCACCCAAGGATGTGAGGTGCGGAACAGCCTAGCTAGATGCACAATACGTTTGACAAGAACAGACTTCATGTGACAGCTAAAGTCAGAGCTCCCATCTGGGGAGAAGAACAGCCGCCATAGCATTTGTCAATGGGTTTTAGAGGATTCACAAGAATTTTGCTTTGTGTGACTTGAGAGCTGTTCCTAGCCGGAGGGGAAAATGCTGTTAATGGGACACCCGAGGAGTGTGAGAACTCAGAGCAGTGGGGCCGCCACAATGCTGCCCGCTGCTGGCACTGGCTCTGAAAAAAGATTTTTATACTGGAGGATGGGAGGGGATTTTTTTGTTGCTGTACGTCTGGTGACTTTGTACAAGACCCTGGGGTAATCATGGAAGCATTATGAAAACAATAATAGCAGCTTTATTGAAAGCACATGTTGCTGTGCACACACCCTCCACGCTCGTTGCGATGACAATTAAAGACTGAAATTCAGAAATCGGTATAATTTAGCAGCCAGCTATCCTACCCTTTGTGACAGGGCCCCAAGACGAAACCACAGCTCACTTCCCCTGCCTGATCTTTCTTTGAAATATGTGTGTCAAAAGGTACTGGAAGATTTTAGTCTCTGAAAGGTGGCGGTGGGGAACGCAGAGCACAGTAATAACAAACTAGAGGAAACAATAGCCTCCGTGAATAGAGAAGCTCAAGGTGGGACAACTCACAGGGGGGGACAATCTATATAAAAGCTTGGTAAGGCATTCTGGCCCTCTCCCGTGCTGGGTCTCCTCCCCTCTGGTCCTAAGTGCCACACAATCAAACATCGTATTTGTAGGGAACTGTATTAATTACGTACAACTGTATCAAACAGGTCATTTGCTCTTTGCAGCCATCTCACTGGATGCTTTATGTAGCGCAGTATTAAACACCATGGCGATGATGGGTCCTGCAGCCCTGGGAGCAGCCCACCGGTGCCTCTCTGCAATTTAAGCCTTGTCGCCGAGCGAGTGGGGCCACGTTCACACCTGCGCAGACATTCAAGTACGCTGTGCAAATGATCCCGCACACGCACCACAGCCTTGGGCGGCAGGAGCCAGCAGCGCTGAGCTCTGCACGCCCGAGCTTTCAGACAAACAAGAGCAATTTCTGACAGTGAGGCCAATCGTAAAAGAAAATGCATGGATCTTTTGGAGGGAGTGAAGAGTCCAGCTCTCTGGTGAGACTGCTGACCTTTAAAAGCACCCAGATGAATCGGTTTCCCCAGGACCTCTAAGAGTCTTGCACTAAGTCACTGTTGTAGAAGGTGTTTTGCCCCCTTAATTCTCCCACTGATGCATCTCCTGGCAGTCATTCTAGGTGTCCTGGTGGGTTTTTCTTGTTCTACTTAACGTTTTCCATTGAGCTTTGCAGCAGCTTGTCTCTCAACATGGGTATTTCTTCAAGTATTGCCCCCTTTCACTGTGGTAAATCTACACCACACTACCCTGCTAGTAGAAGGGCATCAGATCCTTCACCTTTTAAATCTCTTCTACTTAGGTGTTCAGAGGAGAAAAGCAGCTGGGAAAGTGCCCTCAAGGGGGCAGAGGGCAAGGTAGGAATGTGGCCAAGTGTCCCATCCCATCTTGTCCATACTTCTAGAAGGTCCTTTGGCTTACAGCCATGCTCCTCAGCAAGCCTGGGCGGACATGAACATTTTTTAGAGCAACACGAGTTTCTGATTTGCGCCTTCCTTGCAAGCCCTTACACAAGGTAGTGGAAAACTTCAACCATTATAGCCACTAAATCAAAGAGAAAAAGAAAACACATTTCATTTTACTGTGGGGGCCAAAGCTATGAGCTAATTTCACCAACCTTGCAGATGACTTCTTGGACTGACTGAAAACACCGAGTTGCCTCTCCTAAGAACATGCTGGCTTTGGTTTTTTTGCAAAACCTTTTTACTTAGACATCTTTGTTGTTGGACTGTCCTTATTTGCTTTTTGCCAGGTACACTGGTGATGCATCTTGTAGTCAGAAAAGGCTCCGATACAAAAATTTCAGGTACTAAAAGTATCTTCTGTGGGAGAATATACTAGCCTTTTCTCTGCAGAAGAGATTTTTTTCTTCTTGATAATATGCTCCAGCTGCAGTGGATATCTGAAAGGAGGACTTTAAACCTACCGAGACATGGGCTTTTCCATTTGACTCACTCCTGCAGTCAGATCAGCTACTTCATAGAGAATGTTTTATAACTTGGCCTAGAGCTGTGTAAAATAATTCATCTCAAAACAGTCCAAATTTGGAATGCACAACTTCTTCCAAATGCTTCCACACCAGGAGAAAAAAATCACCAAATTTCTTTGCTGCTTTTTAGACGTGTTTTTGGGCTGGACTAGTTTCTTTCTGGTTGTTGTCTTAGCTGACAGAGGATGAAAAGGAGTTAGTCTACAGCTAAATTCAGTTCTCCCTGAGTGTGGAAAATACTGGACTATCAATTCTCCCTTGCGAAATAACAGCACATC